AGAGAGAGAGAGAGAGAGAAGAGGGGATCAGAAGTACGACGAGGAAGCGTTTTTCCTCCCCTCCCTTTCATAGCACATATGAACTCAATAACGTAAAATGCAAACCAAAGCAGGGGAATTTTTTTTGGTAAGTGTTTTACGGCGCTTGCGATTGCATAAGGTCATATGAGCGCGCGGGGCACATTATATTGGCAACACTTTTTTTTCCTTCAGAACACAGGCCCAAAGACAGAGAAATGAAAATGCGAACTAAAAAAGCCAACAAAGTCACCTATCAGCTTCCAACCCTTCTGTTTCATCCAAACATCACCATGGACGCAAAGAGACAACTTATCATTTCAATGTTTATACCAACGTTATGCTACCAGTGTCAGTCCTGGAAATTAAGTGAAACCCAAGAAAGTAAAATCACTGTATTCGGGATGAAATATCTTCGAAAACCCGTAAAATCACAAGAAGAGACAGGCAGAGAAATGAAAGAAGTAAGAGCAACTATTGGCACAGATTCCTGTCAGCATTTTTGTTTCTAGAGAACTAGAGGGGGGTCTCGTGGCCTAGGGATTTAGGGGTTGGTCTCTCATTCAAAGGTTCGAATCCGTGGAGCGACCGAAAAATTTTGCTCTCTAAAATTGTCTCCTTTTACCTCCTTTCTTGCTCTCTGGCAATGTTCTGTTGTCTACGTTTGTCTCCTCTTTCTGTCCCCACCCCCTCACCCCATTTGCCCCCTCCTCCGGTCTCCTGACTCTTTCTGCAGCCTTTCTACTGCTACTCCTTGGCTTCTTCTTACTGCTGTCTTTCAGCCACACCCCTAATCTTCTGGTAGGAAAGATCTACACCTACCCTTCTCGGACAAGGGCGAAAAATCTGGGAGGGCCCGTGTGCAAGTTACGCACTTTAAAGATCCCTTGGTGTTCTAAAATCGATAAGAGTTGGCTTGGCCGCCACCCGGGTAAATTTCCAAATTTCCTACCGCCTGAAAATGTTTAATGTGTCCCGCGCGCTCATATGACCTTATTTATATACAGTGGCGAGTGCTGCAAAACACTTACAAAAAACAAAAACAAAAAACCCCCCAGAGAATAAAATGGTTTGACCGCCTGTTAAGAATGTCACCCAGTAGACAGTCTCGAAAGCCTAATAGTCAGGATATAAAGGGAGAAGTAGGCCACTCAAAATATGGAAATGAGAGAGCTAAGGGAACCCTGAGTAACTATAAGCTCTTAATTGAAAGTCTTGCAGATTAGGCATAACATTAAAAAATGCATCTCCCCACGACGCTTAAAAGCAACAGAGGAAGAACACGTTTTGAAAAAAGTTTTTCATAATTTACTAATGCTCGACTCCAATTCAAGACAAGGAGGAAAAGTCTATGCTATGCTGCGGTATGGCAGGGTAAAATACATGTATAGTCAGATGTGGTATGGTGTTGAGATTGAAAGTCCTTATTTAACACTAAATTTTAAGATTTCAGCAAAAGAACATTCAAAGAAGGATGGCTCCAATTATATACGCAGAACTATAGACACGCCGAGCATATATCTGGGGACACGCTAAACGTGATCCTTTACAATTAACTACATTAAACACTTGAGGCGTCATCTCTGACTCAGAGGTTGACATGTAGTCGCCCTCCATTCTTCACGGTGGCGAGATGCTTTTGCACATTCTGCTATATCTAGATTGTCCAACCATGTTATCCTTTGTCTTCCCCTGGCTCTCCTGCCCCATATCCTTCCTCCACGCACCTTTTTCACAACGGTCTCGCGTCGTTTTAAGTGGCCAACGTATTGTATTTTTCTGCATTTTATTTTTTTCACTAGGGTTTGTCTTGGGAGGAGAATCTGACACACCTACTATCGCTTTCAACACTTTAGATTCAACACTCGATGCCAGTAATGTCGGCTGTCTTGTAGTTAAGACCCGTAATCGTGGCACCTCTATGTCAGTGTGGCCAAAGACCATAGAACAACCACCAATATTATTTTCTTGCAGCACTGCACTCACTTCGTAACCCTAAGAGCACACCCATGACAATTTTATGCTTCACCATTGGAGAGCAAACTCTACAGCCTCGAGGATCTTAAGCAGTCTTCACCGTTTGTGCGCAACCAAAGACCTGCCTGTGTCCCATTTATATATAATATATTGTGGCGTCCAAAATAAACTTGAAAATGTAATCAACCAATCATCGAGTTATTCGCTTGCACTGCCCGCTCATTGCAGCATACCAATTTAAAGCTAAATAAATCCAGCATCATCTGACACCTTAATATTTCATCTACGTTAAGAGATGTCCGAGATACGGTTACTCAAAATTGACCTTAAAAAATCAAGCTTGGAAAAATTCTGCGGAATCAGAGAACTGCAAAATTGTGTTCGCGAGTAAATTGAAGTGCATCAACATTGGTGGAATTGACATGTATTGAATATCAAGTGAAGAAAAGAGAATATTATTGTCTCTGCAATGAACAGCATCTTCTGAGGATATTTTCCAACAGACTGGAGAACAGAGCAGTTATAAATACCACACAAAACCGGGGCTTAACATAACATGTGCTCATCAGTATTAATTTTTGTTTGCTTAAAGGCTAATGTTTTTTTTCACATTGACTGTGTAGGTTAGATTTTGGACATAATATTTTGTCAGTGAGAACCAGAGGACATGAAACGGCCATGGTTTTGGGTGGTTTGGGTGGAATGAACAGAACTGACCTCATGAGAATCACTAGATGCCTTGGTTTAGTGGATTGCATCGTGCAAATGCTGTAGGCCCTAACGGCAAGTCTTACCCTTGTTTTCGTCATGGTGTCATTCAAGTAGACATCTTCATGCATTATGAAGAATTTTCTTTCAGGGCGTTACAGTCTGGGAGTATCGCAACTTTGGTTTCATGTACTGGGCTTGACACCTTTTCTGAACCATGCTGCCTGCCAAAATGGGAGACACATCGGCCTGAATGTTCCACTGCTGGAACCAAAATATGGAGCCCAAGGTTCGCGTTTATGAACTTTCTCAAGTCGTATAAGTGCATTCTTTAGATAACCATGACCCAACCTTGAATACGGGCTAATCACAAAAATAAATGCCTATATGCGCATTTCCTTTGTGCTAAGTTTTCACGTTTCTCCCAAAGCGACGTGGCTCAGCTCATATATTGACACAACCATTCAATAAATTAATAAGCAGGAATTTTTAAAATAAAATTCTTTTTCACTTTGTAAATAAATCCTTCTTTAGTTATTAAAGCTATATATTAAAGGCCCGATGTTACTCCCTAACCTAATCCTCCATTGCCCTGTTGTATTTGGCCTTTTGACGTCCTACAATACGTTCCAAAGAAACAATTTGAGGGG